TCACCTGTGTGAACCGCTTCAGCACCAGCACCAGGACCTGGGACGTCCTGTGCAAAGTCAACCTCTTGGTGGCAGGCACTTTCCGGAGACAAACGCCACAGTCATAGGCATTTTCAACGTCCAGCTTCTCGGGCTTCACCAGCTCTCTCAGAGCTTGCTCCACACTCTGAGCCGCGGTGGTATTCAGGCTGATGTCCAGATAAGGGTCGAACGTGTCTGAGACACCGAGGCAGTGGACACACTGGATCTGAGAGCTGCAAGTCCCGCCAAAGATCTGACGGATGAGGGTGGTGTCCTCGGAGGGATGGCCCGACGGCTGGGATGCACTCAAGCACCCTCGCTGCATGGGATTCAGAGTGAACATCAGAAACTCGTGGGCATCTTCCTGCTAGTGTCTGTGGAAGCCCGCCGGCAGGTCCTTGCGGGGCCGGATCACCTCTCCCGGGTGAAGGAGGGTTCGGGTCACGTGTGCTCGCCCAGCACAGAGCGTGCAGGAGGTTCGGGCTGGATAGAGGGTGGCGTGCTGCTGGGACACATTCCAGCGGGCCAGGGGTGGCGTGTGGCTCAGACAGTGCAGCACTGCATTCACGTAGCAGGTGTTCCCCAGATTCTGAAGCCCAGCCCCGACCCCCCACGGCCCCCTCCAGCTCAGGGCGACTTGGTGGCCAGGCGCCAGCCCTGCCGACCCAGGAGCCAAGTCACCCCGCTGGGGCCAACCAAGTGCCGGCGATGACACCTCAGGGACAGAGGGTCCCCGAAGGGCATCCGCACCAGCGGCGCTGGGCCGACTACATTGCCCTCTGGGGAGGACGTGGAAGGGAGACGGACACGCACCACCCCCGTGCGCAGAAGTAGCCCCCGGGTCTATGCAAACAAGGCCCACGAGTGTTTTCCATCCCCTACCTGCAGCTGCACGACGATGCCTCATTCCCTCAGATGGTGCTTCTTTTAGAAGGGGCCTGGGCCCCGCCTCCTCGGTCCTTTGATGGCCTCCCACAGCCCCACCCCCAAGCACGCGCAAGCTCCTCATTGGCTGAGGCGTCCGAGGGCGTCCTCACTCCCACTCCCGACATCCCACCACCGACACTTTTCTCGGGGAATTCCCCATGACGAAGCCCCGCACGCACTTCCGATCTGGCCCTGGACCCAAGAGCTCAGGATGCAAATGATTTGGGGGGCCTTGGGCTTTCCAGACTTGCCTGCTAGAGCGTCACTGCAGGGCTTCCAAGTTCAGCACACACATGCGGGCTGGAGAGGAATTCCGTGGGCTCACCCTTCAGATCCTACCACACTTGTGGAAACATATGTCTGCCCACCTACCCTCTCCCCTCGAGGGGTCTCCCCACCCCAGACCCCTGCCTGAGGACAACCCCTCCCCGGACAACAAGAAACCCTTGCCTCAACTTTGCCCTCGACTGAGGTCCACTGCCATTTCTATGCCTTCTCACTAGCCACTCTTCTAGCGTTCAGGGTCCTAGCACCAAAAGATGCCGCGAGTGTAGCACATATGCTTTTCTCCCTTCAGGGTTGTTGGTCATGGTCCACAGGGAGCTCCTTCAGAAAGCCATAGGCTCGCTGCACCTTTCGATTCACTTCTTCAACTCCTTTTCAATCTTAATGGTCTTTTGCGTTATTTCTTTCTACTTCTTTTCTGTGTGTGTCTGTTTTCGTTCATTTTTCAATTTCTTTTTTTTTTTTTTTTGTATTTTTCATTCATTTCATTATTATTATTATTTATTTTTTTTGCAGGTTTTCATTCTCTTTTTCTACATTAGTTACAGTAGTTGATTTCTAGAGTCATCTTTCCAATTGAGGGGCTCAAAATGCACTATACCTTAAGGTATAAACAGATTTCCTCCTGGAGGAGGATGACTGTTGGTTTCCTTCTTGGTGTGTGACATGTATGTTTGTTTGCTGTCCCGACCTGGACATTATGCTTGCCTTCCAGAAAGGCCGTTCAACAGGCCATGGGTTACCCATAGCTGACGTGTTGATTCCGTTGATCCTTACTAGGAAAAGATGGCCCTGACCCTGCTTTTCCCTTAGCCTGTTGCACCGCTCCCACCTCCCGCTGCCCCATCCCATCCCAGGACCCTACTGCTTTGTGCTTTATGATGCATGTGCTCACAACCTTGCTGTCTTTTTGCCTCCTTCCCATGGCACAGAGAAACCAGATCAGCCCGTTTTTGTCTCTCTTTTGCATGCATTTCCCCCAGCATCAGGCGACATTTCCATTCCCTCTGCCACGCCATTCCAATCACCGTTCTTCTCCTTCTTCTCTTTCTTCACCATCTTCACCTCCTTCTCCTTCTTCTTCTTCAGAGCGTGTGGATGGGGCAAGCAGTAAGTCCGTTTGAGGCGATGGGGCAGAGGAAGATTGGTGGTGATAATGAGGGTGGCCTGTGGGTGGCTCGACTTCCTCATCCAGGGCACACTTTTTCGAGTTCTTGGGGGAAGATACCGCTCATCATTTTTTTTCCTCTCTGCATGTGGAGGCCACGGTGCGTTACAGGTAACCGTGCGGGGGGAAGAAGCCAGCGGAAAGTTCTCTGTTCCATGCCAAGCCGACTAGCACATTCAGGAGCCTCAGCTGTCCCTCTAGGTCTGAGATGCTAAATCGCAAATTCCAGGTCCACCGTTTGATGGAGGGTTTTGGGTTTGAAGCCGGCAACGAAGAGAAAGAAAGAAACCGCAAGAGGGGATCGATAAGGGTCCTCGGGCGCCCCTCCACCAGGTCGCGGGACCACGAGGCAGGCGGGAAAGCAGCTAGGAGAGGACAGTTTCCCCACCATCCCAGACACTTCAGAGGCCGGCTGTGACTCATCCCGTCCAGCGGCGTTTGTCCGGGGCCAAGCTGAACGAGACAACTGACTGACAGATAGGATGGGCAGATTCGGATGTCCAGTTGTCTTGCTCTCACAATCTAGGGCAGGCTTGGGTCTTTCCTCAGTGCACGGAGGACCTTTGCTTTCAGAAAGGAACCGTTACATGACCCATCTCCACGTAGGCACCTGTGCCATGATGGTGGAGAAGTTTCTTTGGGACTCGCTGGGTTGCCTTTCTCCCCTTGGCCTTCGTGGTGGAGGCGGTGGACCTGGTGGTGGTACTCATGGCACCGTGAATCGCTTCTCCCGTTGGGCACTTGGAGGTTCTTCAGCATACTCCTTGCACCAGAAAAGGAGCCCCAGGCAACTCTGCGCACGCGTGTCCCGCCGGTGACGAACAGATCCCCCGCGTCATTCCTTCCGGAGGTCCCTTTCCCAAGTAGCACTTTCCCAATGGCTCCCAAGGACATTCCACCCGTAGAGCCTGGTCGCCCATCTTCTGCGCGGACCCTGCTCAATGCTTGGGGCATTTTCGAGAGCCTGGCAGGCCAGAAGGAGACGATTCACAGACCTGCACCCGCTCCTCCCTGCCCCCCACAGGGCTCAGGAGATCGCCTCCTTGCTCGGCTGGCTGTGGGCGTGCTGGGAGGGGTCTCCCTGCCTCCTCACTCGCCAGAGGCCAGAGGCCAGCGGTGTGGCCAGAGAAGGCAGACGGGGAAAGAAAGGCAAAGCCACACCCAAAGTCCCATCCAGAGAGGACTCTCCCAGCCCCGGAGAAGGGCGAGGCACTCAGACTGTGCTCAGACCCGGTCACGCACCCCATCCTCTCCAGTCACTTGCCATCAGAGCCAGACGTCGAGAGCTTGGCCCCTCAGCACCGTCCAGGTGAACAGCGTGGCCCCGGGCACACTGCAGGCCCCGCCTTTTTCCAGGAGGCTGCACCAGCCACACCGCCGAGAGGAACTCGCTCCTCGCAGGAACTCTTGGTGGGTCACACAGGCCGTGCCGCACGCAGAGTGTGCCTGGGCTTCTGCAGGCATGTGCCTCAGAGCCTACCTACCGCCACAGCCCCAGAGATGGCCGCGGCTTCTTGTTTTTCCTCTTGGTCGCTCGGGCCCTCCCGCTGGCACAAGGGCCGTTGCCAACGCTCATTGGGCCCGGAGGCGGGCTGTGCATGCTGGAACGGTCGAGCCGGTCGTGCTCCTCTTCGGGCAGCTTGCCGTTTCTCCCTGCTCCGTGTTTGGACTGGTGAATCACGACTGGGCCGGCAGGCAGGGCCGACTGGATCTTCCAGAGGTCGGAGGCCGTCTTCGGCCGGTTGTGCTCTTTTAGGCGTCTCCACTGCTCTAAGCTGATTCCTTCGACCTCTGTGGCCCCCGGGGACACCTGTGTCCCAGGAGCTCTGCCGCTGGCTTCGCCCACAGGCTCCCCGGGGCCGGCAGGGTCAGGTTCCCCGGGGTGTGTGGGGTCAGGCGTGAGGGGGGCCGCAGACCCTCCCCCAGCACCCCCTTGCCACGCACCCTCCCGGGAGTAGAAGAGGATGTAGGCGCCCTGGCTCAGGGCAGCACTCTCATCACAGGCCGTCACCTTGGCATCGCCCATCTTATAACACTGGCCGTTGCCCGCTCGCACGAAAGAAAAGTAATGTCCTCGCTCACCACTCCACCCAGAGTGCACCAGCACGGCATAGAGCACGTAGCCCAGTGGCCCTGCTTTCCGCTCAGACGTGAAGGGCTGCAGGTCGAGGCACTGGGGATAGCGCACTGCCTGAGCCCTTTTGGCCCCGCTCACCTGTGTGAACCGCTTCAGCACCAGCACCAGGACCTGGGACGTCCTGTGCAAAGTCAACCTCTTGGTGGCAGGCACTTTCCGGAGACAAACGCCACAGTCATAGGCATTTTCAACGTCCAGCTTCTCGGGCTTCACCAGCTCTCTCAGAGCTTGCTCCACACTCTGAGCCGCGGTGGTATCCAGGCTGATGTCCAGATAAGGGTCGAACGTGTCTGAGACACCGAGGCAGTGGACACACTGGATCTGAGAGCTGCAAGTCCCGCCAAAGATCTGACGGATGAGGGTGGTGTCCTCGGAGGGATGGCCCGACGGCTGGGATGCACTCAAGCACCCTCGCTGCATGGGATTCAGAGTGAACATCAGAAACTCGTGGGCATCTTCCTGCTAGTGTCTGTGGAAGCCCGCCGGCAGGTCCTTGCGGGGCCGGATCACCTCTCCCGGGTGAAGGAGGGTTCGGGTCACGTGTGCTCGCCCAGCACAGAGCGTGCAGGAGGTTCGGGCTGGATAGAGGGTGGCGTGCTGCTGGGACACATTCCAGCGGGCCAGGGGTGGCGTGTGGCTCAGACAGTGCAGCACTGCATTCACGTAGCAGGTGTTCCCCAGATTCTGAAGCCCAGCCCCGACCCCCCACGGCCCCCTCCAGCTCAGGGCGACTTGGTGGCCAGGCGCCAGCCCTGCCGACCCAGGAGCCAAGTCACCCCGCTGGGGCCAACCAAGTGCCGGCGATGACACCTCAGGGACAGAGGGTCCCCGAAGGGCATCCGCACCAGCGGCGCTGGGCCGACTACATTGCCCTCTGGGGAGGACGTGGAAGGGAGACGGACACGCACCACCCCCGTGCGCAGAAGTAGCCCCCGGGTCTATGCAAACAAGGCCCACGAGTGTTTTCCATCCCCTACCTGCAGCTGCACGACGATGCCTCATTCCCTCAGATGGTGCTTCTTTTAGAAGGGGCCTGGGCCCCGCCTCCTCGGTCCTTTGATGGCCTCCCACAGCCCCACCCCCGCACGCGCAAGCTCCTCATTGGCTGAGGCGTCCGAGGGCGTGCTCACTCCCACTCCCGACATCCCACCACCGACACTTTTCTCGGGGAATTCCCCATGACGAAGCCCCGCACGCACTTCCGATCTGGCCCTGGACCCAAGGGCTCAGGATGCAAATGATTTGGGGGGCCTTGGGCTTTCCAGACTTGCCTGCTAGAGCGTCACTGCAGGGCTTCCAAGTTCAGCACACACATGCGGGCTGGGGAGGAATTCCGTGGGCTCACCCTTCAGATCCTACCACACTTGTGGAAACATATGTCTGCCCACCTACCCTCTCCCCTCGAGGGGTCTCCCCACCCCAGACCCCTGCCTGAGGACAACCCCTCCCCGGACAACAAGAAACCCTTGCCTCAACTTTGCCCTCGACTGAGGTCCACTGCCATTTCTATGCCTTCTCACTAGCCACTCTTCTAGCGTTCAGGGTCCTAGCACCAAAAGATGCCGCGAGTGTAGCACATATGCTTTTCTCCCTTCAGGGTTGTTGGTCATGGTCCACAGGGAGCTCCTTCAGAAAGCCATAGGCTCGCTGCAGCTTTCGATTCACTTCTTCAGCTCCTTTTCAATCTTAATTGTCTTTTTCGTTATTTCTTTCTACTTCTCTTCTGTGTGTGTGTGTCTTCGTTCATTTTTCAATTTCTTTTTTTTTTTTTGTATTTTTCATTCATTTCATTATTATTATTGTTTTTTTTTTTTTTGCAGGTTTTCATTCTCTTTTTCTACTATAATTGCAGTAGTTGATTTCTAGAGTCATCTTTCCAATTGAGGGGCTCAAAACGCACTATACCTTAAGGTATAAACAGATTTCCTCCTGGAGGAGGATGACTGTTGGTTTCCTTCTTGGTGTGTGACATGTATGTTTGTTTGCTGTCCCGACCTGGACATTATGCTTGCCTTCCAGAACGGCCGTTCAACAGTCCATGGGTTTCCCATAGCTGACGTGTTGATTCCGTTGATCCTTATTAGGAAAAGATGGCCCTGACCCTGCTTTTGCCTTAGCCTGTTGCACCGTTCCCACCTCCCGCTGCCCCATCCCATCCCAGGACCCTACTGCTTTGTGCTTTATGACGCATGTGCTCACAACCTTGCTGTCTTTTTGCCTCCTTCCCATGGCACAGAGAAACCAGATCAGCCAGTTTTTGTCTCTCTTTTGCATGCATTTCCCCCAGCATCAGGCGACATTTCCATTCCCTCTGCCACGCCATTCCAATCACCGTTCTTCTCCTTCTTCTCTTTCTTCACCATCTTCACCTCCTTCTCCTTCTTCTTCTTCAGAGCGTGTGGATGGGGCAAGCAGTAAGTCCGTTTGAGGCGATGGGGCAGAGGAAGATTGGTGGTGATAATGAGGGTGGCCGGTGGGTGGCTCGACTTCCTCATGCAGCGCACGCTTTTTCGAGTTCTTGGGGGAAGATACCGCTCATCATTTTTTTCCTCTCTGCATGTGGAGGCCACGGTGCTTTACAGGTAACCGTGCGGGGGGAAGAAGCCAGCGGAAAGTTCTCTGTTCCATGCCAAGCCGACTAGCACATTCAGGAGCCTCAGCTGTCCCTCTAGGTCTGAGATGCTAAATCGCAAATTCCAGGCCCACTGTTTGATGGAGGGTTTTGGGTTTGAAGCCGGCAACCAAGAGAAAGAAGGAAACCGCAAGAGGGGATCGATAAGGGTCCTCGGGCGCCCCTCCACCAGGTCGCGGGATCACGAGGCAGGCGGGAAAGCAGCTAGGAGAGGACAGTTTCCCCACCATCCCAGACACTTCAGAGGCCGGCTGTGACTCATCCCGTCCAGCGGCGTTTGTCCGGGGCCAAGCTGAACGAGACAACTGACTGACAGATAGGATGGACAGAGTCGGATGTCCAGTTGTCTTGCACTGACAATCTAGGGCAGGCTTGGGTCTTTCCTCAGCACACGGAGGACCTCTGCTTTCAGAAAGGAACGGTTGCATGACCCATCTCCACGTAGGCACCTGTGCCATGCTGGTGGAGAAGTTTCTTTGGGACTCGTTGGGTTGCCTTTCTCCCCTTGGCCTTCGTGTTGGTGCCGGTGGTGCTGGTGGTGGTGCTCATGGCTCGGTGAATCGCTTCTCCCGTTGGGCACTTGGAGGTTCTTCAGCATACTCCTTGCACCGGAAAAGGAGCCCCAGGCAACTCTGCGCACGCGCGTCCCACCGGTGACGAACAGATCCCCCGCGTCATTCCTGCCGGAGGTCCCTTTCCCTAAGTAGCACTTTCCCAATGGCTCCCAAGGACATTCCACCCGTAGAGCCTGGTCGCCCATCTTCTCCGCGGACCCTGCTCAATGCATGGGGCATTTTCGAGAGCCTGGCAGGCCAGAAGGAGGCGATTCACAGACCTGCACCCGCTCCTCCCTGCCCCCCACAGGGCTCAGGAGATCGCCTCCTTGCTCGGCTGGCTGTGGGCGTGCTGGGAGAGGTCTCCCTGCCTCCTCACTCGCCAGAGGCCAGAGGCCAGCGGTGCGGCCAGAGAAGGCAGACGGGGAAAGAAAGGCAAAGCCACACCCAAAGTCCCATCCAGAGAGGACTCTCCCAGCCACGCAGAAGGGCGAGGCCCTCGGACTGTGCTCAGACCCGGTCACGCACCCCATCCTCTCCAGTCACTTGCCATCAGAGCCAACCGTCGAGAGCTTGGCCCCTCAGCACCGTCCAGGTGAACAGCGTGGCCCCGGGCACACTGCAGGCCCCGCCTTTTTCCAGGAGGCTGCACCAGCCACACCGCCGAGAGGAACTCGCTCCTCGCAGGAACTCTTGGTGGGTCACACAGGCCGTGCCGCACACAGAGTGTGCCTGGGCTTCTGCAGGCATGTGCCTCAGAGCCTACCTACCGCCACAGCCCCAGAGATGGCCGCGACTTCTTGTTTTTCCTCTTGGTCGCTCGGGTCCTCCCGCTGGCACAAGGGCCGTTGCCAACGCTCATTGGGCCCGGAGGCGGGCTGTGCATGCTGGAACGGTCGAGCCGGTCATGCTCCTCTTCGGGCAGCTTGCCGTTTCTCCCTGCTCCGAGTTTGGACTGGTGAATCACGACTGGGCCGGCAGGCAGGGCCGACTGGATCTTCCAGAGGTCGGAGGCCGTCTTCGGCCGGTTGTGCTCTTTTAGGCGTCTCCACTGCTCTAAGCTGATTCCTTCGACCTCTGTGGCCCCCGGGGACACCTGTGTCCCAGGAGCTCTGCCGCTGACTTCGCCCACAGGCTCCCCGGGGCCGGCAGGGTCAGGTTCCCCGGGGTGTGTGGGGTCAGGCGTGAGGGGGGCCGCAGACCCTCCCCCAGCACCCCCTTGCCACGCACCCTCCCGGGAGTAGAAGAGGATGTAGGCGCCCTGGCTCAGGGCAGCACTCTCATCACAGGCCGTCACCTTGGCATCGCCCATCTTATAACACTGGCCGTTGCCCGCTCGCACGAAAGAAAAGTAATGTCCTCGCTCACCACTCCACCCAGAGTGCACCAGCACGGCATAGAGCACGTAGCCCAGTGGCCCTGCTTTCCGCTCAGACGTGAAGGGCTGCAGGTCGAGGCACTGGGGATAGCGCACTGCCTGAGCCCTTTTGGCCCCGCTCACCTGTGTGAACCGCTTCAGCACCAGCACCAGGACCTGGGACGTCCTGTGCAAAGTCAACCTCTTGGTGACAGGCACTTTCCGGAGACAAACGCCACAGTCATAGGCATTTTCAACGTCCAGCTTCTCGGGCTTCACCAGCTCTCTCAGAGCTTGCTCCACACTCTGAGCCGCGGTGGTATCCAGGCTGATGTCCAGATAAGGGTCGAACGTGTCTGAGACACCGAGGCAGTGGACACACTGGATCTGAGAGCTGCAAGTCCCGCCGAAGATCTGACGGATGAGGGTGGTGTCCTCGGAGGGATGGCCCGACGGCTGGGATGCACTCAAGCACCCTCGCTGCATGGGATTCAGAGTGAACATCAGAAACTCGTGGGCATCTTCCTGCTAGTGGCTGTGGAAGCCCGCCGGCAGGTCCTTGCGGGGCCGGATCACCTCTCCCGGGTGAAGGAGGGCTCGGGTCACGTGAGCTCGCCCAGCACAGAGCGTGCAGGAGGTTCGGGCCGGATAGAGTGGCGTGCTGCTGGGACACATTCCAGCGGGCCAGGGGTGGTGTGTGACTCAGACAGTGCAGCACTGCATTCACGTAGCAGGTGTTCCCCAGATTCTGAAGCCCAGCCCCGACCCCCCACGGCCCCCTCCAACTCAGGGCGACTTGGTGGCCAGGCGCCAGCCCTGCCGACGCAGGAGCCAAGTCACCCCGCTGGGGCCAACCAAGTGCAAGCGATGACACCTCAGGGAGAGAGGGTCCCCGAAGGGCATCCGCACCAGCGGCGCTGGGCCGACTACCTTGCCCTCTGGGGAAGACGTGGAAGGGAGACGGACACGCACCACCCCCGTGCGCAGAAGTAGCCCCCGGGTCTATGCAAACAAGGCCCACGAGTGTTTTCCATCTCCTACCTGCAGCTGCACGACGATGCCTCATTCCCTCAGATGGTGCTTCTTTTAGAAGGGGCCTGGGCCCCGCCTCCTCGGTCCTTTGATGGCTTTCCCACAGCCCCACCCCCGCACGCGCAAGCTCCTCATTGGCTGAGGCGTCCGAGGGTGTCCTCACTCCCACTCCCGACATCCCACCACCGACACTTTTCTCGGGGAATTCCCCATGACGAAGCCCCGCACGCACTTCCGATCTGGCCCTGGACCAAAGGGCTCAGGATGCAAATGATTCGGGGGCCTTGGGCCTTCCAGACTTGCCTGCTAGAGCGTCACTGCAGGGCTTCCAAGTTCAGCACACACATGCGGGCTGGGGAGGAATTCCGTGGGCTCACCCTTCAGATCCTACCACACTTGTGGAAACATATGTCTGCCCACCTACCCTCTCCCCTCGAGGGGTCTCCCCACCCCAGACCCCTGCCTGAGGACAACCCCTCCCCGGACAACAAGAAACCCTTGCCTCAACTTTGCCCTCGACTGAGGTCCACTGCAATTTCTATGCCTTCTCACGAGCCACTCTTCTAGCGTTCAGGGTCCTAGCACCAAAAGATGCCGCGAGTGTAGCACATATGCTTTTCTCCCTTCAGGGTTGTTGGTCATGGTCCACAGGGAGCTCCTTCAGAAAGCCATAGGCTCGCTGCAGCTTTCGATTCACTTCTTCAGCTCCTTTTCAATCTTAATTGTCTTTTTCGTTATTTCTTTCTACTTCTCTTCTGTGTGTGTGTGTCTTCGTTCATTTTTCAATTTCTTTTTTTTTGTATTTTTCATTCATTTCATTATTATTATTGTTTTTTTTTTTTTGCAGGTTTTCATTCTCTTTTTCTACTATAATTGCAGTAGTTGATTTCTAGAGTCATCTTTCCAATTGAGGGGCTCAAAACGCACTATAACTTAAGGTATAAACAGATTTCCTCCTGGAGGAGGATGACTGTTGGTTTCCTTCTTGGTGTGTGACATGTATGCTTTTTGCTTTCGCGACCTGGACATTATGCTTGCCTTCCAGAACGGCCGTTCAACAGTCCACGGGTTTCCCATAGCTGACGTGTTGATTCCGTTGATCCTTATTAGGAAAAGATGGCCCTGACCCTGCTTTTGCCTTAGCCTGTTGCACCGCTCCCACCTCCCGCTGCCCCATCCCATCCCAGGACCCTACTGCTTTGTGCTTTATGACACATGTGCTCACAACCTTGCTGTCTTTTTGCCTCCTTCCCATGGCACAGAGAAACCAGATCAGCCAGTTTTTGTCTCTCCTTTGCATGCATTTCCCCCAGCATCAGGCGACATTTCCATTCCCTCTGCCACGCCATTCCAATCACTGTTCTTCTCCTTCTTCTCTTTCTTCACCTTCTTCACCTCCTTCTCCTTCTTCAAAGCGTGTGGATGGGGCAAGCAGTAAGTCCGTTTCAGGCGATGGGGCAGAGGAAGATTGGTGGTGATAATGAGGGTGGCCTGTGGGTGACTCGACTTCCTCATGCAGGGCACGCTTTTTCGAGTTCTTGGGTGAAGATACCGCTCATGATTTTTTTTCCTCTCTGCATGTGGAGGCCACGGTGCGTTACAGGTAACCGTGCGGGGGGAAGAAGCCAGCGGAAAGTTCTCTGTTCCATGCCAAGCCGACTAGCACATTCAGGAGCCTCAGCTGTCCCTCTAGGTCTGAGATGCTAAATCGCAAATTCCAGGCCCACCGTTTGATGGAGGGTTATGGGTTTGAAGCCGGCAACGAAGAGAAAGAAAGAAACCGCAAGAGGGCATCGAAAAGGGTCCTCGGGCGCCCCTCCACCAGGTCGCGGGATCACGAGGCAGGCGGGAAAGCAGCTAGGAGTGGACAGTTTCCCCACCATCCCAGACACTTCAGAGGCCGGCTGTGACTCATCCCGTCCAGCGGCGTTTGTCCGGGGCCAAGCTGAACGAGACAACTGACTGACAGATAGGATGGACAGAGTCGGATGTCCAGTTGTCTTGCACTGACAATCTAGGGCAGGCTTGGGTCTTTCCTCAGCACACGGAGGACCTCTGCTTTCAGAAAGGAATGGTTGCATGACCCATCTCCACGTAGGCACCTGTGCCATGCTGGTGGAGAAGTTTCTTTGGGACTCGTTGGGTTGCCTTTCTCCCCTTGGCCTTCGTGTTGGTGCCGGTGGTGCTGGTGGTGGTGCTCATGGCACGGTGAATCGCTTCTCCCGTTGGGCACTTGGAGGTTCTTCAGCATACTCCTTGCACCGGAAAAGGAGCCCCAGGCAACTCTGCGCACGCGCGTCCCACCGGTGACGAACAGATCCCCCGCGTCATTCCTGCCGGAGGTCCCTTTCCCTAAGTAGCACTTTCCCAATGGCTCCCAAGGACATTCCACCCGTAGAGCCTGGTCGCCCATCTTCTCCGCGGACCCTGCTCAATGCATGGGGCATTTTCGAGAGCCTGGCAGGCCAGAAGGAGGCGATTCACAGACCTGCACCCGCTCCTCCCTGCCCCCCACAGGGCTCAGGAGATCGCCTCCTTGCTCGGCTGGCTGTGGGCGTGCTGGGAGAGGTCTCCCTGCCTCCTCACTCGCCAGAGGCCAGAGGCCAGCGGTGCGGCCAGAGAAGGCAGACGGGGAAAGAAAGGCAAAGCCACACCCAAAGTCCCATCCAGAGAGGACTCTCCCAGCCACGCAGAAGGGCGAGGCCCTCGGACTGTGCTCAGACCCGGTCACGCACCCCATCCTCTCCAGTCACTTGCCATCAGAGCCAACCGTCGAGAGCTTGGCCCCTCAGCACCGTCCAGGTGAACAGCGTGGCCCCGGGCACACTGCAGGCCCCGCCTTTTTCCAGGAGGCTGCACCAGCCACACCGCCGAGAGGAACTCGCTCCTCGCAGGAACTCTTGGTGGGTCACACAGGCCGTGCCGCACACAGAGTGTGCCTGGGCTTCTGCAGGCATGTGCCTCAGAGCCTACCTACCGCCACAGCCCCAGAGATGGCCGCGACTTCTTGTTTTTCCTCTTGGTCGCTCGGGTCCTCCCGCTGGCACAAGGGCCGTTGCCAACGCTCATTGGGCCCGGAGGCGGGCTGTGCATGCTGGAACGGTCGAGCCGGTCGTGCTCCTCTTCGGGCAGCTTGCCGTTTCTCCCTGCTCCGAGTTTGGACTGGTGAATCACGACTGGGCCGGCAGGCAGGGCCGACTGGATCTTCCAGAGGTCGGAGGCCGTCTTCGGCCGGTTGTGCTCTTTTAGGCGTCTCCACTGCTCTAAGCTGATTCCTTCGACCTCTGTGGCCCCCGGGGACACCTGTGTCCCAGGAGCTCTGCCGCTGGCTTCGCCCACAGGCTCCCCGGGGCCGGCAGGGTCAGGTTCCCCGGGGTGTGTGGGGTCAGGCGTGAGGGGGGCCGCAGACCCTCCCCCAGCACCCCCTTGCCACGCACCCTCCCGGGAGTAGAAGAGGATGTAGGCGCCCTGGCTCAGGGCAGCACTCTCATCACAGGCCGTCACCTTGGCATCGCCCATCTTATAACACTGGCCGTTGCCCGCTCGCACGAAAGAAAAGTAATGTCCTCGCTCACCACTCCACCCAGAGTGCACCAGCACGGCATAGAGCACGTAGCCCAGTGGCCCTGCTTTCCGCTCAGACGTGAAGGGCTGCAGGTCGAGGCACTGGGGATAGCGCACTTCCTGAGCCCTTTTGGCCCCGCTCACCTGTGTGAACCGCTTCAGCACCAGCACCAGGACCTGGGACGTCCTGTGCAAAGTCAACCTCTTGGTGGCAGGCACTTTCCGGAGACAAACGCCACAGTCATAGGCATTTTCAACGTGCAGCTTCTCGGGCTTCACCAGCTCTCTCAGAGCTTCCTCCACACTCTGAGCCGCGGTGGTATCCAGGCTGATGTCCAGATAAGGGTCGAACGTGCCTGAGACACGGAGGCAGTGGACACACTGGATCTGAGAGCTGCAAGTCCCGCCGAAGATCTGACGGATGAGGGTGGTGTCCTCGGAGGGATGGCCCGACGGCTGGGATGCACTCAAGCACCCTCGCTGCATGGGATTCAGAGTGAACATCAGAAACTCGTGGGCATCTTCCTGCTAGTGTCTGTGGAAGCCCGCCGGCAGGTCCCTGCGGGGCCGGATCACCTCTCCCGGGTGAAGGAGGGCTCGGGTCACGTGAGCTCGCCCAGCACAGAGCGTGCAGGAGGTTCGGGCCGGATAGAGGGTGGCGTGCTGCTGGGACACATTCCAGCGGGCCAGGGGTGGTGTGTGACTCAGACAGTGCAGCACTGCATTCACGTAGCAGGTGTTCCCCAGATTTTGAAGCCCAGCCCCGACCCCCCACGGCCCCCTCCAACTCAGGGCGACTTGGTGGCCAGGCGCCAGCCCTGCCGACCCAGGAGCCAAGTCACCCCGCTGGGGCCAACCAAGTGCAAGCGATGACACCTCAGGGAGAGAGG